CATTTTCTTACAGACTTTTCCTTCAGTAACAGGGAAGGAAAATAAAACCATGGACTATTTTGTATATATGTATGTGTGTATATAACACACGCATTTTGTAATATACACACACATATATATATTTTCTTATGATTGTGTTTGAAGTTTATTAGCTTAATACCTTATAAAAATCATCTTTGGTAATTGACATATACAATTCAGATTTAAAGGTTTACCCGTTGGCTTTAATGTAAACTTAAAACAGTCTTATTTCAGAATAAAATGATTAATCAAATGGAATTATAGTTCATGTATTAACAAGTGAAATCCTATATAAGATTGTCTTTCATGCAGTTTAGTTTGGATGGGAAAGGGAGTAAGAATTTTTTTTTTTAACCTACCACTTCCAAAACAAGGGTTTGAAGTGTCTTTTATGCTGCAGAGATTAGGTAACGTTCAAGGAAGATGTGTAGTCTTAAAACAGTTTTCTTGGGAGAAGGTTTTAGTCTGAAGAAGGTGAAGATATTTATGCTGAGTCATGTTAAATTTTATGTGGGACCTACAAAAGCTGGTAGAAAAAACCTGAAATGGTTTCACTAAATATGTTGAGAAAACTGGACTTTAGAGTAAATGTGACTAGAACTCTTAGTAATCATTTTTGTTATGTGAAATGATATATAACATTTAATTTTTGCCTTAATTATCAGCGTTTTAGGACTTCACCTTCTAGGGCATTTTAATGTTTGGAAAAAGACTGTGTAAGTAAACCATTGGGAGTAATTCTGCCTATGGTAGTAATGAAGTTCCTGGTGCTTGTTTTGGTCAGTCGTCAATTAGAGTAGAAAAGGAACCCCAAAACAGCTGTGGGGTTTACCTTGTTGTTATATAAATTGATAACCTTTCAATTGGATTTATTGTGTTTCTGGATTTACTACATTCTGGCTAAACAGTAGCTTTGTCTCTTTCCCTCAGTGTTAATCAAAGGATGAGGACTGATTCTCACTTATATTGGGTGTGACTATCATAAATTAAGAATTTCCAGTGAGTTTAAATGTTTGCAGGATTATTGTACTGCCAGAGTGGACTAGCAATGCCAGCTGTATGCCCCCCTGAGAAAATGAACAAAGTCCTGTGTCTTAACAGTTACTCTCTTTTTTTTTTTTTGAAAGCTTTTTGATGTAAATAACACCAGTTTAGAAATGAAAAACCTTTTATCTTACAGAATACAATTTGAATGAATGAAGGTTTCCTTTTGTATTTTAAAACATTTTTACAGTTGATTGTTCAAATATTGGCTTTCTGTAAAAATATTATCGTGTTAAATTTAGACTGTTTGTAGTGCAATATCAATAAATTTTGCTGCTTGGGCAGTTTTAATTACTACCTTAACCTGGTTTCTGCTGCTGTTACTTGTTATTATAGGTTCCAACTTACTCATATTTTGTCTCTTTGGACCAATAAAAAATGACAAGTATGAGATAAAGGTATGTTTATATGATGGGAAGAACTGTTAAAAGTGTGTCTCTGCAAAAGTGAAAATAAAGAACTGGTATGTACTGTCCATCTCAAACACTTAACAGTTTGGTTATTGCTCTAAAGCAGAATTGGTTAGATATATACAATCCAGTATTTCTTAAACAGTTGTCCTCCAACCAGGCTTTCCAAATAGAATACTTAACAAACAGCCCTTGGATCATGGGAGAAATACATTCTTCACTACAAACCTCAGTTATATGATAATTTTTATTTAAAATCTTAGGAGGGGCACCAGCGTATATACTTTGCTTTCCTCCAGAGAGACGCCTTAATTGCAGGACAACATTGTCCCTCTAGTGGACAGGTAGATGGGTTGCAGAGCTGCTTGCCATCTTTCCTGTAGTCATGTGTGACTTCCTTGCACTTCCAGTTCTTGATGGTGTGTTTCCCTGATTTTTAAAAATGATAAAAGATTTTTCAGTAGATAACTTCCCATTCATACCAAATTTTAAAAGGCAGCCAAATAGAAATTGGTGATAAATGAGAGTTCTGTGGCTGTTTTGACCTAATGTAGTGTCTTCTGGTTCCCAGCTTTGACTAGGGCTTTCAATGTAACGTGAAGCAGCATAGGTTTGACATTTACATGTACAACAGTATTGCAGACGGACAGTCTTATCACCCTTTAATGAACACAGTTAAAGTATGTCATGGAATTAGAAATATTTATTCAGAATATAAGAATGTAAAATATTATAAATGTCTCTGTATAAATAAATGGAGTTTTTTTTAAACAATTCTATATCAAATAACACAAAGTAGCTATTTTACAGCAGCTAAAACTAAAGGCATCTGGAAGCATTTAAAGCATACAAGTGAAGAATCTAAAAAATTACAAGGTATAGTACAGTGTTAAGGGGCAACTTTAAAATGAGACTTTCAGTACAAACAGTAGAACAATACTGACAAATGCCAACTCAGTCACATGTGCTTTAATAACTGACCGTACATTCAAGCAGGTTCTTCTAATTCAAGTGGTTTAAAAGGAGCACATTTTCAAATAATAGGAAACTTAAATCTCATGCAAAGTAAGTCTTAATATGTCTAGAAACTGATTAGGAATAGAAAAGAACATGTGTCATCTTTGCATTAGGTTCATCTTTGCATTAGGTTCAAACAAAAGCAGATCATTAGGGGCTCTCATTCACTTGGCAGTCGTTGACACAAGTACTCTTAGTGAATTCTGTGAGTTCTACAAAACATTTTCCACATGGATTTGATTTGCAGAAAGTGCAAAAGTAAAAGGTACGGCAAGCACTATCTAAAAGTAGGTCATCGGTGTGAATGTGAGGGAATTTTGTATATAGCTTGTTTCTTCATTCTGCTAAGCTGGTATTTCAGATGATCAGTGGATGAGTGATTTGTAGCAACCTTGACTATGGAAAAATCAAGCACTATTAGTCAAGGATCTAGTTATTCAATAGCAGTTGCTGCTATGGGGCAGATTGATTTCTTGTCTTGGTCCCATGCAAGAGCTCACTCAGATGCAGTGTGAGAGAATTTATCCAATATAACTCTTAGTCAAAAATGCAACCATTGTATGTGAGACAGTCTTCCTCTATACAGGAATTGGTAAAACAAGAATGCAGGTACAGCTGCTTTTCAGCTTGGTTGTATTTTAACAGCCGTCGAGTGCTCAGTGATGATAACGGTGGCAGCAGTCAGCATTACTTAGGTAGTTCTGGGTCCAATTCTAAAAAGTGAGTGCTTGGCAGCTGAAGACACATATCTATTATAACTTCAAGGGTGTGAAACAGGGAACTTCAGAAGGCCACAGATTCATAGCTGACTTCAGCCTGGCCTACATAAATACAAGGTTTCAATGAAACAGAATAGGATTTGGATAAACCTCAGAAATAGGTGGGCAGCAAGTAGAGTTTGTATCATTGCTTGTCAAATAGGCCATTCCACATAGATAAATAGAAAAATATTTGCTCTATGACTTTTTTTTGGAGTTTTTTTATACTGTGGTTCTACAAAGCTGCAGGAAAAAACCTCGGCAACCCTGTAACTGCACCCTAATTCAATTCAGTGCAGAAATTTCACTTATCAGAGAATTCTCTCCCTTTTGGCCTCCAAAAATGTTCTATCGCTGCTGCATCTAGAAATACAGGAACGGCTATAAACCTAGCATGATCTGTTCGCTTTACATAGTTTTACAGAGGAGACGTAACTCCCAGTTAGGCGTCTGCTAATGGCTTAAAAGTTTTAGGGATCCTTTGGCTGTTTTCTGTAGTCTGGATGTCTTTCTCACTAAACATATGAACGTGACACCCCAAACTCTCGAGAGCTTTAAGATAATTGACAGAGTTTAAAAATAATTGCAGGATAACTAGTGGCCGTAGAACACCTTTAGAAGAGAACAGGCAACTACAGAGGTTCCTAACTCATGCCAGTGGCATAGTCCAGTCCAGATGAGGTAAAACTATGGGGTGTTTTTTTTATTATAATCGATATGCAGGTAGGCACTAGGAGATTTTCATACAGTTTCAGGTTTTTCTTAGGATGAGGCTAGTAAGGATTTTACTACTTTAACAGTTTTTGTGGGTTTTTTTGTTTTAAGATTTTATTTATTTGAGAGAGAGAATGAGAGACAGACAGCACGAGAGGGAAGAGGGTCAGAGGGAGGAGCAGACTCCCCGCGGAGCAGGGAGCCCGATGTGGGGCTGGAGCCCGATGTGGGGCTCGATCCCGGGACTCCAGGATCATGACCTGAGCCGAAGGCAGTTGCTTAACCAACTGAGCCACCCAGGTGCCCACTTTAACAGTTTTTAAGAAATCATATAGGCTCTAATTTGGTCGCCTTTCTGGAGTAGTCAGAATGTCAAGGCTCTCATTTAAAGTTCTCTGAGATCCCTGTAAAAGTATTGCTGCAGGCTCAGAGGAAGACTTAGCAACAAGTGCAAGCATCTCAATGGGGAATTAAGCAATTATGTTTAACTGGCACTTAATTTTTTATTAACCTAACATTCCAGTTTCGGACAGCTTGGATATTAACTTCAGAAAGCTGACATGCTTGTAGATGAGCGTGAATCTGAAACAGTTAATTACCTGCATTGGCAATGATGAAACAGCTAGTGTACCTCTGGGGCTGGAGCAGGAGAGGAGGAAGGGCTTGATCAATCTCAACTGTCTGATCACTTAAGATATTTAATCATAAATAACTTTCGGTATTAAGTCTCCAAGAGGAATCTTACCACCTGCGAGTCCATAGCAGTTTTGGTAGCTGGTGCAGACGGGCTTTGGCAGAACATCAGATCAATTGGTAGGCCCACACATTGATGCTACTCCAGCTACAGACGGTCTCTTTTGCCTATCATTTTTACCTTAATTCAGCAGTGGGAAATACACTGCAAGGGAACTGTGAAATGGATCCTTTCTTCCCATGCCTGCTTCTCTAAGAGCTGAAGATGGAACAGAGAAGATGACTGCCTAAAAGAGGTAACTACTGAGGGAGGTGGAAAACAAAAACATGGAAGTCTGAAGACTTTTAACCTCATACAAGTTTAATCAGTATCATTGTTTACCTTTGATGGAGAGGTTAATATAAACCAGCTACTATTTAGAAAGAAAAACTCAGGTTATAAAAAAAGTCTTCAGGTACCTGCAATTATTTAATCAATGTGGTTTTAGTGGGCCCCACAATTAGCATAAACAAATGCCTGTTGGTTCACCTTCAGCAAGGATCTTGTTTTAGGGAGTATTTGAAAAATACAAGGAAAGGAAATCAACTATTTAATTGCTTGTTTTTATTCCACACATTTATGAAAGTAACAGTTTTTCTGGGGAAATAGTTTTCACCCAATCACCACATATTTAAAAGTATTATCTTGAAGCATAAATTCAAAAGGAGGCCAGGTAGGGTCAGTAATACCGGGGCTTATAATGGAGGAGCTGAGACCTCTTAGGTCTGGAAGAGTTACATGACGCTAAAAGGGTGAGTTTTCTTATAAGCTGGACCAAGAATGGTAGACAGAAGTCAGCAGACAGGATTATATTCCTGTGTCAGCTATACTTTTCAGTGTTGGTGAAGAAGAAAGCTGTTTTGATGTCTGTTCAGTCACAAATATTTCCCCTCGGCAAACTGAAAAATGGGGAAAACCAGTATTTTGTCTTTTAAACTTTTTTTTTTTGCATATAACTTTTTCAGTCACATTTTCCTTATGACAAAATGAAACTTTATCCAAAGAGTAAAAATTGATTAAAAAAAAAAATCACAAGAACCAACTTTGACTAAATGGAAGATCCATAACAAACAGGAGCCGGTGGGCACTTTCACAGTGATCAAACCAGCCAAAAGCTGGTCCTTCCAGACTGGCAGTGGTTTTTTTGGTTTTTGGTGACTTTTTTGGGAAGATGGGCAGCCTTACTGCTGGCCTAAGAAAGAAGGGTGGTTGCTTTTGGGATAGAACTGCTCGAACTGCTCTGCCCTCCAAGGTGGTGGCTGGAGTAGCCTTCTCCAGTGCAAAGGCAGCTGAGGAATTTGTATCAGGTTGTCTGAAAACAGATCTTCAGCTCATGGACATTGGAACTCTAATGTGGTGACCTGGTTATGAGCAAAACTGTGAACTCTTGGGATATAATTCCCAGGGGACTTCGGGTGGATCTTAAAGTACTACAGAATGAAAGGCAAGTGGTCCTTTACAATGTTATCAGTGTAGGGTAACTATAGAAGTGAAAGACAGAGATGGAATAATGAATTTAAGATGGAGGCCTTCCTGAAAGAATTCAGGTACTTTGGTCCTGGCCCAGCCCTGTCAGCATTTTGCTTGAAATTTAACCTGTTTAAGTACCGTATACTAACCTCCACTTTGGGGGGCGGGATAAAAGGAGGTCTCAGCGACCATTCCTTTACCCCCTGCCTTTCATAAGAGCAGGAGCGAAGTCTTGAACTGATGGTTCCGTAGCCGTCTCTTAAATAGGTGGGCTCAGCCTGCAAAACATTCTACTCAGTGTCCTGCCTCTTGCCCTTAGAGAAATAGAGGCAGGTCCAGAGCTATGTATGTACTCCTACGGGTGAATTTTGGTTCATGCACAACAGCAGTTATGTGGAGCCCTCAGGTGGGCAAAAGTCCCCTGCTCTTGAAGAAACTCCTGATAAAACTTTAGTTCCACTCTATGTATCAACAGAACCATCTCAGCTCTAAGTCTTGGCTTTAATAAGGCTCCACTGGAAGGGAAAATCACCCCAGTCAAAAGAAAGTGCCCTTCCCAGCGCTACCTCCACAGTGAGAGGTGAAGTGCTCATGCTCCCAAAAAGAACTGTTCAGGGCGAAGCCCTGGGGTTGCTCTACCTGTAACTTCGAGTGTATCAGGGACTGTGGCCCCTACGCACCATCACCTGTCATCCGCCTCTCAGAGCACCTCTGACTGACAGCCTGCGTCTCAGAGCTGGTACGTGGGTCTCGAAAACCAAAGCCTGGTTGCAGTAAGCAAATCAGCAGTTCTAGAAGCTGAAGACACCCCCTCCGCATTCCCACATGTGTCAAGGGTTTGTCCCTGAAGGAGAAAGACAGACAAGAAACTGGGGATGTCAGAGATCCGGTCACCACCAAAAAAAGAACAGAACGGACGGTCTTCTAAAACAAATGCCGAGGGTACCACTGACGCACAGCCTCTGGAAAGAACAGGCTGGGGAGGGGCTGCCCGCGCTAGAAGCAGAAGCAAGGCCTGCTCTTTACACGCCGTCTCCAGGCCCAGACGGGGAGGAACGGGACCCTCTGGCTCCAGTCCACTCGGGGTCAGCAGGCCACTCGTCCGCGGCGTGGAGTCCACGGTACTCCATTGCGCAGGTGCTGACCTACCTGCTGGCCTTCCCTTTTGTCTCTCCCACCAGGTGCTCTGTCTCCCGGGGCCCTTCTCTCCCCGGTGACCTGCTCAGGTTCAGCTTCCACAGGCAGAGCTTTGGTGCCCAAGTGCCGATTAAAGTGAAGTTTCATTGGTGTGTGGCCTTGAGTTCTCCTCCTCCAGCAGAGCTATTCTTTGCTTGAGCATCCTCACTTGGGTCTCGTGTCTCTCCACCATGGCCATCATCTGAGACTCCAACTTCTTCAGTTTGTTTTGATGCTTCTTCTTGGCCTTTTCATAGGCAGCCACCAGGTTGCTGTGTGGGAGCAGGGAGGAGAGGGAAGAGTCATCTGAGTAGTGTGGAGACACACCCTGTCCTGTCTGCTGGGTAAGCAGGTCCGGAGAGGTCACTCAGCCTCTAAAGAATAGGAAGTCAAGTATTCAGCACTCACGGCCATTCACCTGTTGGCTTAACTACAGGTCGCTTCCCTGCTGGAGGCTTGTCCCTAATCTGTTAGGAAGGGTGTAAACCAACGACCCAGACTAGCCACATCCAAAATAGGTAAGAAAGAAAAGGCAGCTGAATTTCAGAAGTCTGTTATTTAAATACAAGTGATGAGGGGTGCCTGGGGGGCTCAGTCGTTAAGCATCTGCCTTCAGCTCAGGTCATGATCCCAGGGTCCTGGGACTGAGCCCCTCATCGGGCTCCCTGCTCGGTGGGGAGCCTGTTTCTCCCTCTCCCACTCCCCCTGCTTGTGCTCTCTCTCCCTCTCTGACAAAGAAATAAAATCTTTAAGAATAAATACAAGTAATGAGTCTGTCGTTCCACGGCTGCCTGCAACAGATGGTCCAGCGTAAGTTACCAGGAGTGTTCTCAAGCCCTGCGGTCTAAGAGACCCCACCTAGGAGGAGGGAGGCTCCGAGGACTTCTCTTTACGCTTTGGGCTGGTGGGATTCAGAGCACAAGGCCATCAACTCCTGCTGCCAGCCGTCAGAACATAGGCCCCTCTGAACTGTCTCCCTGAGAGCCTGGTGGGGAGAGCAGGGGAAGAGCCCAGGGCTGGATAAGCCCTAATACCTGCTCTGGTCCAAAATAGCAGCCCAGGGCGCCTGGGTGGCTCAGATGGTTAAGCGTCTGCCTTCGGCTCAGGTCATGATCCCAGGGTCCTGGGATCGAGTCCCACATCGGGCTCCCCTGCTCCTTGGGAGCCTGCTTCTCCCTCTGCCTCTCTTTCTCTCTCTCTCTCTCTCTCTCTCTCTCTCTCTCATGAATAAATAAAAGTTTTTTAAAAAAAAACAAAACAACAAAATAGCAGCCCAGTCCCTTCCATGTACAGTTAGGTCCTCCAAGTGTGGTCTGGAGACCGACTCCCTAGGTTCCCAAAACCCTCTCAGGAGAGCGGGCTTGGACGCCCTTTACCTCAGCTCCACATGAAGCTAGGTGTCCCAATTTATTCCACAACAGAATACTGCCTGTAGAAGTGAAGGTGTGAATCAACCAGACAGTAAAGAGATTTGCAGATTGTAAAAACCGTGCCACTTTTCTATCTTTTTGGAAAATAGTTTTTTTAATAAATGCCAATGGTATTACATGTTACCAATTTATTACTATTCTTTTGAATTTATTTTTTTGGTAAACAAAAACTTAGAAAAATTGGTCTTGGTTTTAGTTTCTAAGCCGAGATTTATCAATAGATAAGTAATTTATAAGAACAGAGTTCTTTGGGTTCCTTAGTTTTTTATGAGCATAAAGGGGTCCTGAGCCCAAAAAGCTTGAGGCTGCGTTCTTACGGAAGTGCCCCATAAAGTGTTCCACCAACAGGGGCACCTGGTCAGCTTCGTTGGTAGAGTAACTCTTGATCTCGGGGTCATGAGTTAGAGCCCCACATTGGGGACCAGAGTTTACTAATAAAAGCTGTTGCTCATATAAAAGTTACACAGCCAGTTTTCTGTTTGGAAAATGTTGGCTTAAACACCATCTTTTTTTTTTTTAAATTTTATAACTTCTCAGAACCTTTATGGTAGGAATTGTTAAAGGGACCTTAGTATGCTGCATTTCCCAAACACATCTGGCCCAAGGAGAAGCCTTTACTGAGCATGTCTTAGTTTCCTATGGAACACTGGGAAATGATGCCTTAGGGAAGGCCAGGACTTGGGGTAGGGGGGACGCAGGCTGGTGAGGTTCCCAGCAATTATGGAAATGCCCTTCCTGGTGTAGGAGTCCAGGCACCACCAGAAACCCACAAATGGAGATGTTACCTGTTGGCTCGCTTTAGGTCATTGACGAACTCTGCCGACTGCTGGTGTCGGATTTCACTACTCTTGGTGAGTCTTTCCAAGGCACTCACCAACTCTTGAACTCTGGCCTTTAACTTCTTTTCTCTGTAAGGAGGAGAGACAAAGCACGCCTGGAGTAACTTGACAAGATCAGGGCGGTGGCTGTTACCCTGGAAATGGTGGCAGAGGAGGAAGGTTGAGCTGCCAAGTCAAAGTCAGGTATGAAACAGAAGGTATTCGAGGTACCTAGAGGTCCCCTCAGGTCCAAAACATCTCACCACTGCATTCCTGAAGGCTGGTAAGGGCCCTTTGGAGAGCTCAGATCGCAGTACGTGTCACAAAGGAACAAGACAGAAGGTTGTAGCCATCCAGATACGGAATCAACCAATCTAGAAGTTCCTTTGCCCTGTGGGCCTATCAAATGCTCACGAGTGCACCTTAACCACAAAACCTCCTTTGGGTTCCACCCCCCTCTTTTCCAGGAATGCTAAGAAGTATCTCTTGAATCACTGCTTTGAGAACAGAAACCTCTGGTCTGGGCCCCTACCTTGGACAAGTCTGCACTCCCTGAAATCAACATGATCCTACTTTGTAAAAACAAAAAACAGTAGTGATAGAGGGAGTAGAAATTGATACTCATTTTCTTTTCTTTTTTAAAGATTTTATTTATTTGACAGAGACACAGCGAGAGAAGGAACACAAGCCGGGGGAGTGGGAGAGGGAGAAGCAGGCTTCCCGCAGAGCAGGGAGCCCGATGGAGGGCTCGATCCCAGGACCCCGGGACCACGACCTGAGCCAAAGGCAGACGCTTAACGACTGAGCCACCCAGGCGCCCCGATACTCTCATTTTCAAGGTCCTTGGTTCCTCTTTAAAGTACTTAGATTTGCACTTTGACAACCTCCCTCCCCCAAGCCTTCGAGTTCTGTGGACTCTTTACTGCTGGGTAAGCCGAAGTAATTGACTTAGGATTCAGTTAGGGGAGGTTTCTAGTGCCCAGTGCACTTCCTGTCTTCCTCTGATTACCTCGAGCATAAGACCTGGGCAGGGAAACACTCATGAGCACCCTCCCTCCAGAGGTACCCCTGTCATAGGCACAGTGTCACTGCATCGTCAGGGCCCTGTGCAGCACAAATCTCACATGCAGCACAATCTGATCCGTTATTTGTCAGACAGACGGAGCACAAGAAGGGGGAGTGGGAGAAGCAGACTCCCCGCTGAGCAGGGAGCCCGATGTGGGGCTCCATCCCAGGACCCTGGTATCATGACCTGAGCCAAAGGCAGCTGCTTAACCGACTGAGCCATCCAGGGGCCCCTGATCCGTCTTTCACCTCAGCAGGCACCCCCCACTGGCATGTAGGCTCTCAGGTGGCAAAGACCTTACCCAAACGTACACCCAGTGTTGAGCACCACGCCTGGGTGACAGCTTCTCAGTGGCAACAGTTGTTAAAACAGTGTAGGAATAACTCCCTTGAAGGTATCTTTCTGATGGTGCATCATGAGAAACAAGATTTGTGGAAGAAATTCCTCTGCAAATGACTGATGAGTGTATGAGGAATGTACATGAGCACAGCTGTTTTGGAAGGCAATCTGGGAGGATATAGCAAAATAAAAAGTAAACCTATTCCTTGATGAGGCAACCTGATTTCTAGGAATTTTTCTTATAATATGTGTTGGTGTATAAAGACACATGAGGGGATTACAGCTGGGTTCACTTAAGTATTGGTTACAACAGCTAAGAATGGGAATCAACCCGGGTACTGGTTAAATTCCGCAAGGTTATAATGGTTCTATTGAAATACTCTGCAATTATTTTTAAAAAGCTCAGATCAACAAGCATTGGCATGGAAAAGTGTCTGATACATTGTCAAGTGAAAAGGGTGACTTCTATTGGAGGCCACTTTTGCAAAAACAACTGAAAATCTGAGTGTGAAGGGCTGAGCTACTCTTGAATGGCTGAGCTACTCTAACAATAGACCAGAAAGCTAACACCCCCCCCCCCCGCCCCCCGCAACAATGGGCGACTCCTGGAGTGGGGCTGCCTGAAGGCTTTCATTTCCTGCTTTACTCACTTCTGCATTGCTTGAAGTTTTTAGAATTTTGTATGCTTTTTTTGTGAAATCTGTGAGAGCCAGTCTCAATTGTTCTGCTTCCTGTAGGAGGGCTAAGGGGGTCGACCCCCCACGTGGAGGGCTCTCAGATGTTCAGATGATTCGGCCCTTCCTGGCTTTTCAAGTATCTTTTACATTTCTGCCTCCAGCTACTGTGAGCACAAATGAAGCTTTTCAAGCTCACTAATGAAAGAATTGCAACACAAAAATCTACTCCTGCTGTTGTGAGTGAAGATGGAGGAGGAAAGATCTTTTTAAATGAAACTTAACAACCAGCTCTAAACCCAAGGACTCCTGATTCCTCCGCGAATCCTCCCACCCACCCTAAGGAAGCCTGAGCCTCAGAGGAATTCCTGAGGAATGTGGGTCTCTCCTGGGCCCTAGCAGCCACGAGGAAATCTCACATCTGGTTGCATTTCCTACTGAAATCCAGAGAGGGACCATTTCCTAGCAGAAGTGTCTTGGGAGGTGGGGCCCTGTAGACAGGCCTCTGTCGCTGAGGGAAGGCTAGGAAAACAGGAAAGAGTTCTCCCCCTCCCCTTGGACTGGTAAGAATCGGGAAGGGGTTATTTGTCCTACATTTTGTTACTGTTTCGAGTCTTTTCTTTTTCATCCTAAAGTTGATTAATAGTGTAAAGGGAAAAAAAGAAAACTGAAGAGAATTTAAAATGTCACCATGAGCTCAGTAAATTCAAAACAAACCTACCCGCGGCACTACCCCTTCCCATCCCCCAATTCCATCCACACCGCTGCCCCACCAGCCGAAAGTACAGAAATCCCAGCCTCACCACAAAACAAACGGTTTCTTTGCCTGATACCCAGGCCCCTGGGAGACTGGAGGGAACTTTCTGGACCTGGCAGGCTCCAATGGGGGATGGAACCCAGGAAGACAGGAGAGGCCCTCAAAGACCCTGCCCAACCCCCTCCGGGTGGGGAGCATGCTGGGAGCTGAGAACTGCCCCCAACAGTTCCCTGGGCCGCAGGAAGGAGACCGAAGTGCACTTGTTTGTACAGTGTCCAGGACAGACCTAGGATGATTTATTTAATATAAAGATGAGGCCAAACCTCAAACCTAAACCTAAAATGTGTGTTACTTAACCTGTTTTCATCTGAGTGAGGCCTCCAGTGAGCAACAGCTCATGGACTGAAACTCTGTAAACCACTTTGAAGGACAATAAAAGAGGACTTTACCCTTCCTTTTGACCTTAGTCTGTACTTTTTAAGTTTTTCTTTCCAGCTTATCTCGACTCAGGCAGAAGACCAACGGGTAAAGCATCCCCTTGAAGGGAACCGAAACCACCCGCTCAAAAGCAACAGGGTTATAACCAGCACTTGTCACTTTCTCCATAGTATTCACTGCAATCTATATTTAATCTAAAAAAACATCTCCACAGTGACTGTATCATATCACCCTAGTTACTTCCTTCATGGTCCTCACCAGAGTCGGCCAATACATTCCTCTTTTAGCAAATGCAGGCAGCAGTAACAGTGATCTCGAAGTCCTTCACAGGGATGGAATGATTGACTTCTCACCACAACCCTTGGAAATCAGTACTATTCGTATTCCTCGCATTTTCTAGATGAGGAACTCAGGGCCCAGGTAAGAGACTTGCCAGTACGCCCACGGAACTGGGAGGCACACCAGGGGCTGTGTGCAAGCCGGAGCTCTTGGGCAGCACCCTGCCGTGGCTCATGGAGGCGTGGAGCAGGTGCTCCAGACCTCTAGTGAAGAGCACATCTGTGGCCCCGACGAGGAGGCGTGCCCAGGTAGTGATGTTCCTCAGGTCCTATGGGGGAGCGTGGCTGTATTTGGCAGGAGTAGCAGCAAGATGATCATGACCATCCATCGTTTTGGCCCATACTTTCCTAGGACCATGGTTCTCGCCCGGGAAATGCAGCTGCGTGATCATAGGCACGCTCCTGCCTTTGCCTGCGGGGTGCTCTCCATCACCGTGCTTTTATGAGATCCCAGCTCAGGCCTTCTCTCCAAGCTTCTGGACCATGGAGGGGATGACGGAAATGCACCGAGATCTCAGTTACCCAAGCTACGCCCATCTCAACCCTAGGGGTGAGCCCTGGTTTTTACTGGTGCCCTTGGGGGCCCTGGCTCTAGAGCTCAGCAAGTTATTTACATGATCATCAACTCATTAGTGCACTTTGTCTTCCATTAACATCCATGTGCATTTACAGCATTCTAAGCACAATTTCGGTTATCTGATTGCCAGTATAAATCAGCCAAATATGAAGAATCAGCAAGTGGGGGCACCTGGGTGGTTCAGTTGTTGGGCGTCTGCCTTCGGCTCAGGTCACGATCCCAGGGTCCTGGGATCGAGCCCCGCATCGGGCTCCCTGCTCAGCAGGAAGCCTGCTTCTCCCTCTCTCTCTCCCCCTGCATGTGTTCCCTCTCTTGCTGTTTCTCTCTCTGTCAAATAAATAAATAAAATCTTTAAAAAAAAAAAAAAATCAGCAAGTGCAAGTTTAATGAAACAGACCTTTTAAAATACTGGCCTGACTACCAAAATGATGAAGATTTTGCTGATCTTTTGCTCACTGGGAGCTCCTTCTTTTAAAGGACCCCAACTAATTCCCTTTTCATTTCATTCCACTATTTGTATGGCTCAAAAACGTTAGTAATCTGTAGCTGCTGCTAAGAGGGGTCACCTGGTGCCATCTTTTGTCCTCTCATGGATGCATGTTTCCTACAAGTCTGGAAGATTTCTAGAACTGGGCAGGTATTTGTAGAACTTGGACATGGCTTTGAACTGAGGAGGCTTGTGGTCAGCACCTGTGGGGCCACAGAGAAGAGCAGAAAGGTACACAGTGGAGGCGACAGGAAAGCTTCGGGAAGGTGAGTGTTCTACTGGAGGGGATGAGAGGAGGGGTCCATGGCTTGAGAGAGTCGGGGGCACGAAGTGAAGAGCATGCTCCTGGAAAGATGAAGTGTCCAGAAGAACTTGGACTATAGGTTCCGTACAGGAGGAACATCTGAAATGTGG